AATTTTCCAGAAAATAATGGATCAAGTACTTCAGGGTATGGATGGAGTAATCTGCTATCTGGATGATATTTTGATAACTGGTAAAGATGCAGAAACCCACCTGACTAACATAAAAGAAGTCCTTAAGAGGCTCGAAAGCTACAACCTCAGGGTAAAGCGAGAAAAATGTGAGTTCCTGCAATACAGTGTTTCATATTTAGGACATGTCATTCCCATCCTATGAAAGAAAAGACAACTGCCATTCAGAAGGCTCCAGTTCAAAGAAATGTAACTGAACTTAGGTAATTCTTGGCTCTGTTAAACTACTACGGGAAGTTTATACCAAACTTATCGACTCTGATCCAGGCAATGACAGCATTGCTGCACAAAGATGCAGAGTGGATTTGGTCAGAAAGTTGTCAAAATGCTTTTGAGAATGCAAAGAAGGCTCTTCAATCTGACAAAATCTTCGTACATTTTGATGCCGAGTTACCAATTATCTTAGCATGCGATGCGTCTCCTTATGGAGTTGGTGCTGTAATCAGTCACCAAATGAAAGATGGAAGCGAAAGACCGATTGCATTTGCATCAAGAACATTAACTAAGACCTACCTTTATGGAAGGAAATTCATTTTGGTGACGGACCACAAACCATTGTTAAAAATCTTGGGTACAAAAACAGGTGTACCTACTCTAGCTGCTGCTAGATTGCAAAGGTGGGCTCTAATTCTAGCTGCATACAAGTATGAGACTCAGCACAAAAGATCTGAGTAACACAGTAATGCAGATGCTTTATCCAGGTTACTGATGAAACCAAGAGTGGATGTGGTGTCAAATCCTATTTACAGAGTATATTACCTTGATGAGTCACCTATCACGGCAAGGGAAATAGCAAAAGAAACAGAAAAAGATTCCGTGCTAAAGGTGGTGAGTAACAGTTGGTGTTAACTGGCTGGCCTAAACATGTACAGGATGAGTTGCTGAAGCCATATTTTCAGAGATGTTTTGAGCTTACTGTTTGAGACAATTGTCTGCTGTATTGTCTTACGAGTGGTGTACTATTTGAGTGTACTATTTGTCAAAAGCAGCGTAGTATGCCTTGTAGTACTGCACCAGTGCATAAATGAAAATGGGCTGCCAGCCCCTGGGAGAGAATCCATCTTGACTTTGCAGAGGACCACAAGCAGATGTTTCTGGTAGTTATGGATGCTTATGCTAGATGGCTAGAGATTATTCCTATACATACTACTACTTCAGTTAAAACTATTGAAGCATTGAGAAATTTGTTTGCTGCTTACGGTGCACTACAGAGGTGAGCTGTGCCTCAAGAGAAGAAGAAAGTTCCCTGTTGACAATAAATGTTGCTATGTGCTAACTTCCAGTTATCTACTTGAATATTTATTTTCATTTTTTAACCGGTGTATCATACACAACAGTGCACACTTCTCCACATCCCAGGCAAGACGCCACTCATCTTGGACTACTGTACTTCTGGAGTTAAGAAGTCTGGGAAAGCGAGTGATTCCTCTTGAGTATTAAAGATGGAGGTGGAACCACCTTTGCACCTAACTAACCACTCAATTCTGTTGAGACTGGCCAATAGGAACACATACTTGCCCATGACATATTTTTCACACCAAGGGAGAAATCCTGAATCGAGTGCAAAAACTCAGTTTTGAGAGAGAGAAGAAAGTAGTTTTGAGAGAGAAATCTATTTCTGAGAGAATATGTTTTCACTCTAAAAAAACTATATGAGAGTAAGATTATATTTTTTTAGATAACCTTTTTTCCTTCGAACTAATCTTCCAAATGTCAATTTTTCTTTTATAATATGAGAAAATATTTTCTCTCAAAAATGTTTGTTTAGTCCCAAATAATATCAGTTTTTGGTATCAGTGCAAACATTTGTGTTCTCTATTATATTTATTTTATTTTCAAATTATTTTCCCCTTTCATATCACTTTTTTTCTTGAATTAAAAATGAACTTGCTATTTTTATTGTACTTCATGAAAAGCCTGGTTAAAAACTGATTTGATTTGTTTTTCAAGTCCAAAATTAATCCTCCCGAGTGGCTTTGGCTTTCTTTTTCTTTATAAACTGTAAAGTTTTAATAATGTTTTCAGCCTTAGTATTGTGGCAAAGGTACTCACCTGTCAATTCCAAACCCATTCCACTGTCTAGACTGGAAGAAAGCATTAGCATACTGGTCCAGGCTAGCTTGCTTTTCCTCTTGAGAAATTTCTCCACCCATTTCCTGTTTCCTCTTTTTTTCATGGGAAGAACAACAAAACAGAGGTATGTTATTAAAAAGAATTAGTATATGTTAGGTGTTCAGGACATAATCTTCAATATTTATGGCTGCAGTGGTTCTTAGCGTCCTCAGACAGTGGCTTAAATGCATAAAATTCCAGGCACTGAGTTTCAGCTTAAGAGTTATTCAAAAAGTTGCTGAGAACAAATTGTGTACATCAGTGTAATTTTTCCTGTCATTGATTAAGGTTTAGTCAATTGAATTTTATCTTTAATTTATTAATGTCTGTCTGTCTGTCAGTCTTTTTATGAGAGCATTTCACAGTGTATTTTTATTTTATTCATACTTCTTAAACTGGTGCATTGTTAATGCTGTGTTCAAACTGAATGCTGTTTTGAGCATTAAAAATAAATCTGATGCTTTTCCATATTAAAGTCAGATGTTCAAATCAAGAGCATTTTTAATGCTCCTAAGTAGTATGGAGTACCATGGAGTATAGAGGACACATCCTGCCACAATTAAAAATACATAAATAACTAAATTACTCATAAATATAAATCATAATAAAATAAGTGAGGCAAAATGCAACAAGCTAGACTAAATGCATATACTTACAGTTGTATGTACATATAAAAAACGTCTTCCTCACCCATTGTGGGTGGTCTTCCCCACCTTTTTTCCTCCAAGCTCGGGTCCTCTACCATAGACCTGGGAGCTTCAGGGTTCTGCTAAGTATCTTTCCTGTTCCTAGAACTGCACTCTTCTGGACCGTGATGTCTTATGTATCTCCAGGGATCTGCTGTAACCACTCTTTAAGTTTGGGGGTTGCTGCCCCAAGTTCCCCAATGACCACGGGCATCACTTATGCCTTGACCTTCCAGGTTTTCTCCAGCTCTTCTCTGAGCCCCTGGTATTTCTATAGTTTTTCATGTTCTTTTTTCCTGATGTTGCCATCACTTGGCATTGCTATGTCAACCACAATGGCTTTCCTCCGCTTTTTGTCCACCACCACAATGTCCAGTTTGTGCGCCATTACTACTGAGTCTGTCTGAATCTGTGTCTGGTGGACATCTTTGCAATGATCTTATTTTTCAGGTCAGTTGCTGCCTCGTGTGGTGGTGCTTATTGGAGCATACAATATCTCTCTCTATCTATCTATATATGATTAATTTGACCTTCTATGGTATCTCTTCACGTTTATTCAATTTTTTTTTTATTTAGTCTTATTTTTTATAGGAATGCTGTACTTTTTTCTTTACTTATTTATTTCAAGTAAATAAGTAAAGATGTTGCTGTTTTATTTTTCCTAATCTTTTTATTTTCTTATAACAAAAATCGATTTTTCTTAAGATATGCTTTTCTGCACTTTATATCCTTTTCTAAATATTTTATTTTTATTAACTCATATTTTCTACTCCAATATATTCCTGTAGTATATTCTCAACAGATGTCTCATAAACCATATTTTTCTGCCTCTTGTTTTTTTTTTTTTTTTTTTACCTCCTCTATTTTTTCCACATGTTAACGTAGAAATGGAGGGGTGGCCTTTGGAGCAGCATCACCGCTGCAGCTTCATCTCTTATTGGCCGAGGTCAGTACCTGCTAATAGCTTCTGCCTGGCATTATAGAGGTTGGAAGGCTAACTTCCATCATGTTCTTGATAACAAGTGGTAAAGTTAGTGGAGAGAGGCTGCAGCGGTGATGCTGTTACACCTGTTTTTTTTATAAAGCCACTTAACCTAACAGTTAAGCATGTTTTTGAGAACCAACACATGGTAAGGGAGAACATGCAAACTCCATGCAGAAAGACCCTGGGCCGGGAATCGAACCCAGAACCTTCTTGCTGCCATGCAGCAGTGCTACCCACAGAGAAACTGAGCAGCCAGCTGAAATACAGTCGGAGAAAAAATGAGAAGATGTAGAGACAAGAATGAACGGCTTAAGGAAAATAATTTTGCTGAAATAATATCAGAATATATTGGATTAAAAAATACAGTATATGAGTTACTGAAGACAAAAAGCCAACTCAAACATTCGCAAATAATATAAAGCTCGGAAAAACATGTTTTAAATATATTTGGATATTTAAAAAATATGAAAGAAAATAAAAAATGTTTGGAAAAATAAACATTGACTTGAAATTTACTTGAATAAACGAAGACTAAATATTCATTGTTTAAATGAAAAATGAGAAGAAAAGTGTTGAGATAAAATAGGGGAGAGAGAAAGAGATCTATAAATAAAGCATAGTTCACTAATATAAATTGCAAGCCATTATTTTGTCACCTATTCATATTTATGATTTCATATTTATTTCTTAATGTATTTTTAATTATGGCAGGATTGGTCATCCATACTCAATGCACATCAAGCAAAGGGCCAAAGCATTGCTTGTGACATGAGTGATTTGTGTAAATGTTTAAATGATCAAAGCACTGCACAGAACAGCGTGAATGCAGGAACTTTTGATGCTCCTTGATGTGCGTCCACCCTAGACTTTACGTGTAGAACAGCTACTCCTGATGCTCCAAGCATGTTTAGTTTGAAAACACCATCTTTTGTACTGAAGGTCCTAGTCCTAGAGAATATCCACTGCACTATTAGCATATCTTCATCGAAATTATACCTTTAAGTCCTAAGAGTATCTCAGATTTTTCTTAAAATTATGTCACATAGTGCTACTTTTTGTATTGTTTGTGAGTACGTGCTCAGATCAATAGAAAAACCCCAGCTTACATAATGAAAGAATATATTAATGGAATTACTCACCAGACACGAACAGAATAGTAACAAAAAATTAAAACAAAGCTTCAGTCCTGCTTGTTGTTTTTTTTTCCTGCAAAAGGTGAAGGGAATTTATACCCAAAACTGTTAAAAGAGTGGCGGTAAAGTTCACCTGCCTAGAATTTTCATGTTTGTTTTGGGACTGGGTAAAGTACAGTAGGCGGTGCAAATAAAAAGTAAATACAATGTTTCTCCACAAATTCAAACGGACCTTCAAATTCAAAAATATGACAAACATACACAAAGTGACCTTAGCTGCAGGACTAATCCATAATCATCAAGAGCATCTTGGCTTCTTCTTTAATTAATGCTCTCTATCTGTCCAGCCTGTCAGCTTTTGTGTAAAGTAATTTCTCAGAAGATTTGGAGTTGTGGTATATTTCTGTCTTTTTTAGACATTGGATGTTGATGTATATTATTACATTTCCAGAGCCAATTATACATTTTTCATAAAATAACTCTGCCTTAATTTTCACTAAATAACTTAACTTTATTGATCTCACACTGGAAAAATGTATCTCTGCATTTAACCCATTGCTTTGGGGAGCAGTTGGGGGTTAAGGGTCTTGCTCAGGAAACCAGAGTGCAGGCTGTGAGGATTGAACTGGGTACTTGCAACTCGGAGCACAAATGCACTGCTCTAACCAATGGACCAACACTACCCCCACTACAGTGTTCTCCATGACCTATTACACTTAAGGTATGCGTCTGTAATCTTTACCATGGGAGATAGTATAGCTGGCATGAATACTTAGGTGAAGTACAGTTTACATCATCTATATTCTTCCTTCTTAGATAAAAAATCATATAACAATGATATACAGTGAATAATAAATTGATTGTAAATTGAGTATGTGGACTTAACTTCCATCTGAATCTTTGCCTCCCATATAGAAGACCAGGAGAGCCACTTAAAATGAAGCAGAGCCTTTAAACATTTCAAATTTAATACATACAACCAGATATCCAATTGAAACAGAATTCTTTAATTGCACAATTAGATATAAGTGTAAAGGGGAACTGTGAATTCTATTTGTTGGTCAATTATCAAATACAATAGGGTAGATTTGTCTCTATAATTCCATTTAAAAAGGGTTGCTTCAGTTAAAAAAATATATTTTCAATAAAGAAAAACCTTCACGTTAATGAAAAAACTCCTTTTAATCAACAAATAGTATTGCAAAAATACAGTTGAGACTCAAAAAATACCTTTGAGCAATTGTTTCTTTTATATAAAACGTATTCTTTGAATAATAGTGACAGTTTTTGACATGAAGAAACTTTTTTTAACTGAAGTTGTTTTAAACCTACAGTGGAAATGACATCTATCTTTATAATTCTATAAAAAAAAGGTTGTTGCCTCAAAAACAAAAAACAAAAAAAAAAACAACCATTGATTAAAAAAAGTGGTTTCTATGAAACCCCTCCCTGGGCTGCCACCTTATCGTGGTGGAGGGGTTTAAGTGTCCCAATGACCTTAGGAGCTATGCTGCATGGGGGCTTTATGCCCCCTAGTAGGGTCACCCAAGGCAGACAGGTCCTAGGTGAAGGACCAGACAAAGAGCAGCCTAAAGACATCTTATGATGAGTAAGACAAATGGACCTAGTGTTCCTTGCCCAGACGCGGGACATAGGGGCCCCACTCTGGAGCCAGGCCTCGAGGTGGGGCACGCTGGCGAGCGCCTGGTGGCCGGGCAGAGCCCAAATAGGAAACATGGGTCCCCCTTGCAATGGGCTCACCACCTGTAGGAGGGGCCAAAGGGGTTGGGTGCAATGTGTGATGGGTGGCAGAGGAGGACAGGGACTTTGGCGGCTGAAGAAGCTGGCTCTTGGGACATGGAATGTCTCATTTCTGGTGGGGAAGGAGCCTAAGTTAGTATACAAAGTTTAATGGTTCCATCTAGTGATAGTCGGATTTACCTCGATGCACGGCAGGTCGGGGGGGACTTTTTTGTCATTAATACTTGACCTGCGCATGCGAAAGAATAATGATTCAGTGCTTGAAGCACTGCCTCTGGCTGTCAGTAGTGGGTTCCTCGTCTTACCTTGTCTCTCCTTGCCTTTCCCTGACTCTACATGCTCTTCTCCCTGATGTCTCCATGGTTCTGGTTAAGTTTTACATTTTAAGTTGGATTTGGATACCTGCCGCTGTTACCTGTGTTGATTCATTCAAAACTGCAACAACTCACCTCTGCCTTCCTCTCAGCCTCTGCATTTATGTCCTCAAACCCTGACAGTGACTTCAGTGCCAACTTATACTTACGGTGGCTGAGAAGTGCAAAACTAATTTACAATTCAAAAACACATTAACAAATAAAAAACAAAAGTGCAAAACACATTTACAATTCAAAAACACATTAACAAATAAAAAACAAAATAACATTTGAAGATACAAAATTATATTTTATGAAAAAAATGTATTTTTGAAAAAAAGTTTAAATTTTTAAAAACACATTTACAGTTCAAAAACACATTAACAAATAAAAAACAAAATAATATTTGAAGATAAAAAATTATATTTTATGAAACAAATGTATTTTTGAAAAAAAAGTTTAAATTTTGAAAAACAAATTTACATTTTAGGAAACAAATTCATATTTTAAATAAGTTAGATTTTAGGTGAGAGAAAGTTTTATTTTAGAGAAAAAAAAATACATTATAGGGAAACAAATTTACATCTAAAAAAAAAATTGACTGTTCGGAAACACTTGTAAAAGTGCAAAGACAAAACTGCAAGCGGCAAAACACAGTTACATAGCCAAAAACAAATTAACAAAAGACAGCTACAATGAAAGGGAATGTCCCAGTGGCCGGATGTGACGTCACGATTACCCTGACTTGTAGTACAAACAGCTCAATCTGTAGTCCTCCTGCTTCACGTGAAAAGACAGCGGCAATTTTAGATGGAAAGAATTGCACTGAAGCTGTTTTTCTTAAGTTTACAGTATGCTAACCGAACAATCTTTTGCCCTTATTGTGGTCTCTGGAACTTTTACGGGACACGGACCAGGTGGCAGGACCAAGCAGCAGGGCTGAGCTCAATTCGTGGCAGTGGCTGCGTTGCAGCAGTTCCGGTGGTCCTGCCACCTGGTCCGTGACCCGTAAAAGTTCCAGAGACCATCCGCACGAAGAACAAAATGGTGTAAATTGGCTGAAATCTGCTCCACAATAATAAAATCTGAAAATGAAACTTTCTTTCACCTAAAATCTAACTTTGTTTGCTAAAATGTAAATTTGTTTTTAAAAATTTTAATGTTTTTTTTTTCAAAAATACATTTGTTTCATAAAATATAATTTTGTTTCTTCAAATGTTATTTTGTTTTTTATTTGTTAATGTGTTTTTCAATTGTAAATGTGTTTTTAAAAATTTTAACTTTTTTTTCAAAATTACATTTGTTTCGTAAAATATAATTTTGTTTCTTCAAATGTTATTTTGTTTTTTATTTGTTAATGTTTTTGAATTGTAAATGTGTTTTGCACTTCTCAGCCACCGTATATATTACTAGTAAACGCGTATGATCCCCATATCCTAACAGTGATTTCAACTACAATTTCTTTCTTTGTATTGCATCTATTTTTGGTTACATATCTGTACCCTATACCAGAGGTAATCAATGTGGGGTACCGCAACGGAGGTCACAAGATTTAGTGTTAACCAACTAATTTTTCTTTTGACTGCTGCTTTTGATTTAGTAAATATTGTTTTATCACATCTAGATCATGCTGTTGTCTAAAGCACGACTTTTAATATTTTTTAAATTCTACCAGAAACACAGATGATGAAAAAAATATTTTTGTCTAGTTTCCTTAGTTTTCGCTTTTTGTATATATATTACATTTTTCAATAACTATGAATTTTTTCTGATACGTTTTTCTTTTCCTTTGCTGTAGTCTAATTTAGCCTTCTGCTCTTTTTTCTATTCTGTATCTTTAATCTAATAAACATTTATACTTTGAGTTCCCATTTGCTTTGCTATTAGAAATAAAGGGTGTGCCTATTTTATTCCATCCATCCATTCATTTATGACTGGTGTCCAATTGACAAAGTAATCGCAATAAAGTTAAATTCTATTCTATTCTACCAATGCAAGGGACTTCTGCTGCATGTACTAAAGTCGATTGTATATCATAGCATTTTACTCTTTTTTTATTCTTTTTTCTTTTTTTTTTAATCAGTGTATGCCAGGGTACTAAAATGAAAAAGAAAAAAACATACAGAAGAAGGGATATGTTACATTCAGATTTTTTAGCTGTTGTCTACATTTGACCAGAAATCATATGCACCTAAAATTCTGGGTAGTAAGATAACGGCTGCAAATAGAGCATGTAGCAATAACCTCCGTGTGTTTGTTTGGGTCCCATATTTGCTGCTGGGAAATGCTTTTCTCCCCCTCAGTGACGGGAAATCTGAGCAGACAATTGCATAACTCTCAGTCATACCCAACTCACCCTGCTTTAGAAAACATTATTTTCCTTAGTAAAGCAATGTAATATTCCAGTTTGCAGCTGAATGATGATTGACCATCAACTCAGAAGAAAAAAAATCTAAGTTTCTTTCTAGTGTTTAAATCTTAAGAACACAAAAGATATCTAAGATAGTTGGCTGCAAATACCACTTTTGTACATGCAGCAAAGGTAGCTTTCATTGGTAAACCAAGTGGCTTGACAGAGGTTGCTAGCAATGCTCTTATTTAGAATAGATTAGAATAAAATAAAATAGAATGAAACAGTGGGGTGACAGTAAGCAGAAAGCATAGTCTTAGAACTTTAAGCACTGGTAACCACCAACTGTCCACGGTTCTAATCAAATTTCCCCTCTAAATGACACACCAACTGAGAAGCCCTACCTGGTAATTTGCACTTCCATAGTCAGCAACATGGCATCAGAGATACAAGGAACCATAGTCAAATGTCTACAGTACATTGGGCCAGAATGGGCAAAAAGTAAATCCTACTTGAAATTTCCGGCTAAACATAAGGTTAAATATGGTAAGATTGTTATTCACACTGGTGGTAGTGACACACCAATCAGAGGTTACTAAAATTAGTGTTGCTTCCATCTCTAAGTTTGCGAAAACAAAGTCCTCCCTGATCTGACCAG